TTAATTGATTTTAATCAAATTTATTTCCAACAAAAGAAGAGTTCGGGCAGTATGTATTAATTATAGAGCAACAAAAATGTTGATTTTAAGAGCAATATTAGAACAAACTACAATCACTATTTTAAAATGTTGAATCATAATAATAGAAGCATAAAGATGTGAGAGAAGAAAACCGTCTGAAACGTGGGTGGGGCCTGTGGGTAACGAACGAATGGGGCCCATCTAAAAAAAAAAGAAGAGGGCGAGAAGAGAGTGCAAAAGGCAGGATCATGCATTTGTCTCCTCCTCCTTGTACACTTCTTTTACTCTTTTACGGGCCCATTGCTTGTGATGACTCGATCTCTGCCTAAAATAATGCACAATTTTTTTATAGATAACGTTTTACTTTTCTTTTTTGTTTTTTGAAATTTTGATAACGTCTTACTATTGTTATGTTTATTATAGCAAAGACAAAAATACTCAAGGTTCATCATTTTCATTTAAACTTTTGTTATATTAAGGTATATGAATTGTGTTAGTTCAAAGCCAAAGTTAGCAGTCTATAGATTAACTTTGAACACACTACCAAAAATTTGAGTTATTAGAAACCGTTTTTGTTTAACGAGAGTTTTATCAGGCAAAATTCTCAAGTAATATTTGATCATGCCACTGCAATTAGATCAACAAGTATCCAGAAGCATTTTTAAAGCCTCTTTAGTCTTCACAAAACAACAAAAAACACTACTATCGGAGTAATAATCAACAATAATAGTTGGCAAGTGAAGTGAGAGAAAAGACTGTAAGAAATTACTTTCATTTAATTCAACATTGTCTTTTTTTTTCTTGGTTTGGTTATAAGTAATTCATTAATGAATTTAGGCCCTCATGTGCTAATGTGACTCACATGGAAATGTCTTCAAAACAAATCCATATCGTTTTCTACTGACAACTCTATTAAATGTAATACCTTATCTCATCCTTATCTACCTCAGACTTATTCACTAGAAACCGTGCAAAGCATCGCTGTGTACGATTCATGTAAAAAATGTTGAAAATAGCATCTTTGAGGTATTGTGCAAAGAATAAACACTTACCTTATTGTTAATTGCACAAGGACTCTCCCTCCTGCAATCCATAGCTTCATCAAGCTTACATTACACATTCAATATCATACCATCTTATACATGAGTACAGTGTTTACATAAACCGTAGATAGCCATACAAAGCAAATTGTGTGGCAGATTGATGAAGCCTGGAGAGTAAGAAAACGGCGAAAAGATTAGGATCTGATTGGTTAAGTGGGCTTTGTTTTTAGCATAAGAGAGGCTAACATGCTTAAGGAATGGTTCTTTGGTAGAGAGGTAGAGCTCCCAAAGCTTCTCGCTCAGCTCTTTCCCGCTTCACCTGCACACGAAGTCCACTATGTAAGAACTTTGCTGTAAAATTTCTCTAATGCTACAAGATAGAGAAAACCAAAATTCATAATACAAGTTCATTATAATTATATTAAATAGCAGTTGATGGAGAACACATATTCACTTTTGATCATTGATCTAGCAGCTCAAGATATGAATATGAACATTTGTGCAGATGAAATAAGCATATGGCGGTTTGCAAGCAAACCAAAATCGGCCTAATCCTGGTTTCGTTCTTAAAAAGAAACTGCATTTGGGACTTACAAGAGCCAGCATTTCTTGGAGGTAGCTCCTGAATGGTGTCTGCAGTGCCTGTGAAATTACATAGGAAAAAGGTTTATATGTCACAGTCAAAAGCACCATATCAGAAACATTTTCTTCAATGGAAAACGCGGAAGAAACTGTACTAAATTAGGCAACCTTTCCTCAGTTATGAGGGATGTCATATGTCGCAGCCTGTGGTTGTACATTAAGGCAAACGTGACAGAAAACCTTACACAGCTTATCAGGTTTCAATTATGCCATAAAGAAAGACTAAACCATTGAAATAAAAATCTAGATTGTTCACAAACGAGCTCCTTATATACATCCAATCATGCAAACTTGGTCACTATAAGGGAAAGTTATCAAAGTCCTCATATGTTGAAATGATAGAATAGGTCTCAGTGATCTAAAATCTATGCCTTAGAGCCATAGCTTAAGACTTAATGTAGGCACAGAAGATTGAGACACAATGAAATTACAAAGTAGCCTCTGCAGAGAAATCGAAATCGGTGCTTGTAAGACCCCATTTCTACTATATCTCTACAAGCACTGCCATGATCAATCCAGAGAAGGAGCAACTATACAATATAAACAATCATCCGCGTAGTGAAACAATACATGGCAAACAGAGAAGAGAACTCCAAACTACCAACGTATCGCATTTCGATACTCCATAAGCTCAGTATTATCACTAAGTTTGAAGAAATACCTGAAGATTATCTGGAAGGTACTCGTGTTTCATTGAGAGATCCATCGCACGCTTTAGACGCTGGTTACGCGCATCGACGACCTCCCTCGGTAACCGATTAAGCGCCTCCTTAATATCCAAATCGTACAAAGGATCGTAGAGATCGTCGTATCTGAGACCTAAACATTCGTAATTTCAAAATCAGCCAAAAAATCGAACACAAGAACTAGGGTTCCTTGAGAGCGAGAGAGTACCGTATCTGCGGAGGCGATTAGAGACGGATTTCATGTGCAAACGAGCCAAGAAATTCTTCCTGGGATCTACTAAACTCTGAAGAAACGACGCCATTGTTCTTCTTCAGCCTCTCTCTGCAATACTCCGAAATGCGATTCCGAGGTAAGCCACTCTATTTGTAATTTTACCCGGGAAGGAAGGAAGTAGAAGAATCGAGAGACGTCTGACTAAACGACGTCGTACAAAACTTCCATAGATATTTTATC